GTTGCAGATGTTTTGGATTCAAAGCCCATCGCCATATTCACCATGGATGAGGACTGCTCAAGATCTCTCTCCACGCTGAGAGAACAGAGTGGGCGCAGTTCCCTTTTTGAGCCGGCTCACCAGCAGCCTCAGAACTCTTCCCCGAGGGACGCGTCTCTTCTAGAGAGGCGCTAAACAGGGCAGGATCAAGTGCACCAAGGGCTGAAGTAACTCTCCCCACTCATGCTCCGGACATTTCAGAAAAGCTCAGCTTTCAGCCTTGCTTGGGAAGACCACACTGCCCCAGGATGGAGTTCCCAAAGCCCTTTTCTGGGGTTGGTGCAAGGAGAATGGATTTCTAGGCGTGTCCAACGGTGCCACGACCTCATGGAACACACCACATCATCTTTGGGTTCCCAGCTCTACCGTGTCTTGCATGTTCTTTGGGACAAGAGGTCTAATTCTGGGAGTAGTGGGGAAGTTGCTGGACTAGGAGCAAGGAGTTCTGGGTTCTGGTCTCTCCTCAGCCACAGGAGCTTGTGGGGGACTTGGGGCCTGTCCTGTCTCTCTGCCCAGCCTACTTCTCAGGTTGCTGTTCTGGAGAAGAACGGAGGAAGGAAAGCTATGTTTGCTGCCTTGAGCTTCTGGGGGGAAGGTGGGCTATGGATATCATCACCATCACCATCAGCCTCTGCCAGACCATGCACGGCCAGATCCAGAGTACATACCCAATCAGGTTGAGGAACAGCCTCCAGTAGCCGATATTGGGAGTCTTCCCCTGCTTTCTCATTGTAGAGTTCCATGCCAAGAGCCACAGCCTTTTCATAGATCAGGGGTTTGTGTGGCGGTGGGGCTGCCCCAGAGGCTGAAAGAGCCCCAGCCACCAGCAAGATCCTCCAGAAGCACCCTTCCATCATTGGCTGTAGTGCTGTGGATGTCAGGAGCTGATGTGACCCCCGGGACCAGCACGCCTCCTTTTATACGCTGAGACTCGGGTCATCTGCTCGCTGGCAGATGGCCAGGGGTTTTCCCCACTGAATTCTGTGAGGGCATTCCTGCAGAATAGACCCTCCTTTCTTGGGAGTGGGGACAGAGGCAAAAGAAGGCTTACATGCCAGTAAGGAATCAATTTGCTCACACGGGAAACTGAAGGAAAAGGAAGCAGATCCTGTACAAGGAAGACTCGACTGGGACCAGTCATGGTGGTTGGTGCAAACTATCCACTGGGAGCTATCTAAAGTCTGTTGAGCAGTGTTTCTCAAACTTGGCAAGTTTAAAACATGTGGACTTCACGCTGTGGGTCTTAAAGTTGCCAGGTGTGAGAAACACTACTTGACAAACTTTAGACTGCATTTTGGATGGGGGGGCCTAGTTCCTGGGCTCCCAAACTTGGCCTTGGAAGTAAACCCCAGTTCTTCTGACCTTCACGTTTTTGCTTTGCTTCCTCTAAGCTAAGCTTGTCTGAAAACCCTCAGAAACAGGTCGACTAGCCTGGCAGCCCACCGGAGTTGATTGCCCACCCCCAGTCTTTTGCCCCCCTGAATTCATGGGCCTCGGAGGCATTCCCTCGCCATCAAATGATGATACATGTGGCACGACACTGTTGCGCATCGGACACAATTTGTGCAAGGACACCCTTTGAATCGTTTGGAGCATAACCTCAGACTGTTGTAAGAAGCTTTGAATGTTGGCTCTGGTTAGGCTAACTCTAGATAGGAAAAAGATGGAGTGAGTCAAGGGTCACTTATAGGAAAGTCCTCACAAAATAGGGAACTCACAAGTTAAAAAAAGATGGGGTGAGTCAACTGTAAATTGTGGGAAGTCCTCACAAAATAGAGAACTCACAAACTGATGAGGGGACTAAAATAAATTAAAACGAGGACTATCTGGGAAAGATGTATTACTTGAATTTTTGGAACAGCTTGGCTGAAGATCAGCCTTCGCATCTTCTGGAGCTGACCCCAAGTGTGTAAAAGATTGTTGGCTGTAATTCAGTGTTTTTCAAACTTGGCAACTTTAAGACATGTGGGTTTCACGTCCCAAGGATCCCCCCCCCCCCCCCCC